CCAATGCCCACAACAGCCCATTTATGCTCATCACGGCTTCCCCACAGCCCTACGGACCGCTGCTACTGGGCATGCTAATAAAGAAGCACACTTCTTACGATCTGTGTTGGTATTTTGAAAATGACATTTCCCTGGGATTTGTTTTCTCTGTAATCCTATGTACGTGTCGTGTTTTTCAACATTTAAAACTGGCACTCTGAGAAGGCATTCGCCAGTCTGCCAGAGGGGTCCATGGCGCAGAAAAGGGGAGAACCTCTGTCCCGAGCCAATGTGATTTTACAGCTGGGAGAATGGGGGTTCGGAGAAGAACGGGGCCGGCCCGCGTGCCAACTGGCTCTGGTCCCATGGATTTGGTTCTGTTTGGTGGAACAGGGACGCAGGTGCTCTGAAAAGGACTGACTGGAAAAATGTTCCTTATTTCAGATGCCACGAGGGTCACTAGTGCCTATGCAGAATTTATGTTTCTGGGGCGCAGGCTGAGGCCTCTCAGAAGGAAACAGGCTGTTCTTCTCAAGGGGAAAAGCAAACTCCAGCCTCGCTGTGCTCTCAGCTGCGCACTGGACAGCTTCCTCGGATGGGGCTACAGAGCCATTCTACTTGACAACGTACCTGCATACCTGGACCACACCCGACAACATACCTGCACACCCAACAGCACCTGATCATGTACATGCACACCTGACAGCACCTGATGATGTATCTCCACACCTAGCAGTGCCTAAAAATGTATGTGCACACCTGGACAGCACCTGTCAATGTACATGCACACCTGACACTGTATCTGCACACCCGGACAGCACCTGACACTGTAGCTGCACACCTGGACAGCACCTGACAATGTACCTGCACACCTGGACAGCACCTGACAATGTACCTGCACACCTGGACAGCACCTGACACTGTATCTGCACACCTGGACAGCACCTGACACTGTATCTGCACACCTGGACAGCACCTGACAATGTACCTGCACACCTGGACAGCACCTGACAATGTACCTGCACACCTGGACAGCACCTGACACTGTATCTGCACACCTGGACAGCACCTGACACTGTAGCTGCACACCTGGACAGCACCTGACAATGTACCTGCACACCTGGACAGCACCTGACAATGTACCTGCCTACCTAGACAGGGTTACCCTCATCCAGCGGCCCGTCTGAGCTCTCTCTACATACAGAAGAGGCATCTTAAAAGATGCAAACAGAATCATGTCACTTCCTGAGAACCCTCGTTGCTTTTAAAATTAAACCAGTCTCTGGCACCTCCTGCTGCTGACCCTCGCCCCTCTGCCCTTCAGTCTCAGCACTCTGGCCCCACCAACTCCCTGCAATTCCTTCAAGTGTCCACGGGTCTCCCAGTTCAGGGCTCTCGTCCAGCCCCATGCTACCTCGATAATGCCAACGCCTTCAGATCTCAGCTCAGACATCACTGCCCCAACCCCACACTCTCACGCCACCCTTCGGCCCTCTAATCAGAGTGTGAACTACGCAGAGGATGTAAGGACTTGCTAAGCTGCAGGAGGGCAGGCGCTAATGTCTCCTGCTCATGGCTACCAGCGCCCGGCTCAGAGTTCGGCAGGGAGGAGGCGCTCACGGAAGCTGGCCGAGTCCATGAGTGAGTGAACAGATGGGTTTCTTCTGCTCCTCTGGCCTGGATGAAGAGGGGCATGCGGCCCTCAGGGAGCAGGCTAGTGTAGCAAAGGGCTGACAGCCCCCCTCACCCTATTCTCACCTTCCCGCAGGGGAGAAGGGCAGTAAGGCCTCTGGAGGCCGAGGCCCCACCCCCACCCTTAGGCAGGCCCAGGGAGCCTCTCATGAGAGGCCCGGGGCGCAAACCTCTCCAATCCAGGTGAGAGGCTGTGGCTAGGGCTGGGGCAAGTTCCAGCTGCCACCCCCACCTCGGTGGCATCTGCTCTGAGTACAGGCTGGCACCTGTACAGCCCCTTTCCCCCGGCAGCGCCCTCTGCCAGCCTTTACTCTCAGCAGAACTGATTTCCGTGCACTCCACACATGCAAGTCTACTCCTGATCTCACTGAATCTGCATGACAGCCCGCAGATAGCTGGTCTCAGCACCAAGTGAACAGATGTGGAAACCGAGGCCCAAGGTGATGTGGCTACTCGTCAGGAGTCACGCGTGGGACCCCAGATCCCACGCACCGAGGCCCCTGGGCCGCGGGCCTGCTCGCACGAGCTGAAGAATCCAAGAACGGTCGGGCAGGCCTTCGTTCTCCAGCTCAGCTTTGCTGGCCGACATCTTCATGGGAGAAGAATGATATTGTTTGGAGGCTGCAAAAATTCCCAGGGCTGAGTCTCTATTAGACCATGGAAAATAAACACAGCCATCCATGGGGGAGGGCTGCATCTGATTTCCATTGATCGACTGCGTCTGGTTCGAGGGAACACGGCTGCGGGAGGAGCCAGGTTCGACCTGCGCTGGATAAACGTGCAGCACGAGCCGGGGCATTCGGGCAACATGGAAACTGGCTCCACTGGGGGCCGCCGTCTGGGGCATCTGGGTCACTGATAGCCAGCTGCCTGCCACCTTGCCTGTCTGAGCGCCAGGCAAAGGACATTTTCCTATGACAATGTTTAGACGGCCGGAACGTTGGAAGAGAATCCCGAGTAGCTGGGGATGCGGTTTCATCTCAGTTTCTGCCACATGTTTCCTGGGCCCCCACTCTGTTCCAGACCCTGGGCTGGCCTGGGAAACAGACAGGAGAATGGTGTGGTCCCTGCCCGCACCCCACCACCTCTCCCTGGTACTGGGGGAGACAAACTCCGGAAGAGGGTGGAGCACCGTGACAGCATTTTAACGGAGGTATAAAAAGCACAGGAGCTCCGTGAGGTCAGGGATTTGGGCCACGAGAAAGACAGTTTTAGGCTGCTGTCCATGCAGACTGCGGGGTTCCTCAGCATCACTGCAGCCAAAGCTCACTAGTACGTGGTGGTGTTGCAGACCGGAGCCTGGCACTGACTTAGTGGTGAATACATATTATCTGCAGGCTCAGTCCCTGGAGCAATGCTGCAGCCCTCGTCCAAGTGCTCGGAGGAGGGGTGGGAAGAGAGAGTTGCCATTCCTTTCTGTGCCTCCTCTCGGGCATTTCCCAGCACCTCCCAACACAGAGAGGAGTTGGAGTTAGAGGAGCCTTGGGGTGGGGTGGGGGTCTGCCCTGGTCATACAGGTGGGGAGACTGAGGCTGACGGTGGCTGAAGGGCTTTCCTGAAGGCACGCTGCATGGTAGGGACAGAGCAGAGGAAGGACGGGGGGCTCCCGATGCCCAGGATGGGGCCTGGTGCCCTGTACTCCTGCAGGAGGGACTTCCAGGAGGAGGCATTTCTGTTCTGTGGCTCCACACACAGGTGGAATGAGGTGTCCAGTCTGAGCCCTGCTGTGTGTGTGGACGGAGGGGTCCCAGGAGACACCAAGGCCGGGACTAACCAGGTAATGGGAAGAGCTCCTCGTTACATCTCTTAGCAGCTCGGGCTGCACAACCTCCCTCCTGGGACTGAACCTGTTCCTGGTACAAACCCACCCTCATCTATTCTCAGCTGTCAGAGGCATCTGTTCAAACTAAGTCAGACCATGTCAGCCTGGCTCTACCCTGCCAGAGGCTCGCATCTCCCTCAGAGTCAGTCAGAGTCCTCAGCACCCGACCTGCACTGCCCTTCCCTGCACCTACCCACGCTCCCGCCTCACGGTCCCTTGGACTTCGCTGGGACACTCAGGGATCTCGCGCTGTTCCCCGATTGAGGCGCAGTGGGCATGGATATCCCCCACCTCTTCCCGTCTGCACTCAGGTGTCACTTCCTGACCACCCCAACCCCTCCCCAAGTCCCTCTCCTGGTTTATTTTTCTCCTTAGCACTTTTTACCATGTATACCATGTATTTCAGTTGTTTGTCTCGCTTACATCCCGGCAGGACCCTACATCCCATAACGGAAAGGGTCTCTTTGTTGTTCATTACCGTGTCCCAGCACCCGGAACTGTATACAGCAAGTGGCAAGCACCCGGTCAGCATTGTTAACAGCAGGAAGGAGGGAGGGAGGGAGGAGAGGCAGACAGACCGTGTTAACAAGAATCTGGGTGGGCTCCTCCAGGGAGGCATCGCAACCAGGCGCCAGGGGTTAGCAGCAGCCGCTCAGAGGCCAGCAGGCCGGGCGAATGCTGACTACCACGCTCTGGCTGAGAGACCCTGCGCAAGTCCCTGCTCCTCTCTGAGCTTCGGCTTTCTCCTCTGTCCAGTGGACATCAGAGCAGTATTGGCACACGTAGCTCCTGGGAGGGCCAGAGAAGCTACGACTGGAAAGCACTATCGCGGTGCCTCGGAGAACGCCCGGCAGGTGCCAGCTACTGTTATCATCAGGAAAGGCCAGGCCCTGTGCCGAGCACAGGACGCAGTGGCGACTCCAGACACCGCCACTGCCTTCAGACAGCCCGTGGTCAAGGCGGGTCACTGGCCAGGCTGGTACAGAGGTTAGAACATGAGACAAGAGCCATGACAAAGAGAAGCCCAGGGCTGGAGGAACCACTCAAAGTTATCCCCTTTGAGAGAATCAGGGAAGTCTACTTGGAAGAGGTGGCATGTGAGCTGAAGGCCAAAGCACACACAGAGGACAGCCAGGCCACGTAGAGTGGGAAGGAGAACATCCAGACCGGTAGAGGTCAGACATATGAAAGGCCAAGAGGCCTCTCAACAGCTGTACGGCCCAGAAATGACCATCCCCATTTTATACATCCTAAACCTGAGCTCAGAGAGGTGAAACCACTTCCTGAGGTCACACAGCAAGGAAGTGGCAGAACTGGGATTTGAACAGAGGGCATTCTCATTCCAAAGCCTGAGAAAACCTGGGAGAGAGAATGAACACCAAGAACCCCAGGTTCCCTCTGGGGCTGAGTGCAGACATAGGGGGGTGGCGGGTGGAAAGGGCCACGGCCCCTACCTCTGCCCCAACTAAAGGACTCCCAAAGCCCCACCCGGCCGAATGGATGGTACCTCCATCAGGTCTATAAGCCACAGCAGCCGCTCCTGGGGAGAAAGGATGGACAAAAGGTAAAAAGAAAAATATTTCAAATAAATATTAGGGATGGGGTGGGCACAGCAAAACCCCCCAAACACATGCATGCATGCATGCACACGTGCACACAAGCGCGCACACACACACAAATGCAGAGGCAAAATAAACACGATTCTCTTTTCTCTTCACACTGAATGCTTTGGGCAGAGAGAGCAGAGGGATGGGAACAAGAGGCCCCTTTGCTGCAGCCATCTCTACCTCATTCTAACTGCCCCTTGAAGGAAGCCAGGGGTCCTCCCTGCTCTGCAGAGATGACAGGGCCTTCCCAAGGGCCTTCAGAAGATGGTCATTCACCTTGGGGCAACCCCGGGACTTTCCAGCAGGTGGCGCTGGGGTCTACCCATTTGGCTAGAGAAGGGAAGTGACTTGTCCAAGGTCACACCTGCCAATGAAAGGCAGGGCCTGAAGGAGGACCCTGTTCAGAAGACTTGACCAGTGAAGACCTAGATTTCCGAGAGGCCCAAGCCCTGTGGTGGCAGAGAAGCTCCGAGTCTGAGAAACTGGGCCCTGGCTGTGCGTGGAGGGCACCTGGGGCAGGATGAAGGTCGGAGCAGGTGTGGCAGGTCCTCAGCCCAGCACTTTCCAGAAGCCTCCAGGTGTCTGCCAGGCGCTGGGTGCCCACCCTCAGGGCAGTTTTCCAAGCACAGAGAGAACAGAGGCTCCATCTCCCTCGGGTCAGCAGCCTCTCTGGGGTGCTGGCACTAGCAGGGAGGTGCTCATCATTTAATCCTCCCCAGCGCTGGGAAAGCGGCATCACTGCCCCAGAACAAGAGGGGAAACAGAGGCACTGAAGGGTCAAGTGACCTTTCCACACTCCCCTCCTGCCTGGGCAGCTCCCTCTCAGGACCCCCCTCTGCCAGCTCACCCTGGTCTTGGTGAGTCCTAATCCGACATGCATGTGCTATCTGGGGGTCACAGACTCCCACAGCTGTTCACATCTGAGAAATGTGGGGACCCCTCCATTTGTCCCCCAAACTCCCCACTCAGTCATCCCATGGCCTTTCTGCAGTCTGCCTTCCCCAGGGTGCCCCGATCTGCAGGGTCTCTCTGGCGGAGCGGGGTCAGCTGCCATGCCTGTGGCCCAGACTGGCTATGAGTGGCATTCTCAGGGACGGGAGAGACCCCTCAGCTGAGACAAGGTCACTGCAGGCCAATGCTGAGCTGGGGCTGGGATCCCCGGCCAGAGCCCCTCCCAGGCATAATAGTCACCTTGACGCTCTCTAGTCCTGCAGCCTAACCTGCCCTCAGGGCCTCCGGCTGCTGCAGCCAGAGCGAAGGACCTCAGGCCATGTTACCCATGGGAAACAGGCTCAGAGAAGCCGGGGCTAAGCCTGCATCTCCTTCTCCCAGGCTAGCACGCCCCCCATCTCACCATCCCAGAATCAGAGCCTGAAATCCCCCTGGCCTCAGTCTTTAGAGAAGTGACTCAGGACGCCTGAAACTCATGTGGACATCATCAAGGCCCATCAGAGTGTCCACAGAGCCGAACACGCAGCCCCAGGTTGGGGACAGCCTCCTTCCTGCCCCAGAAGTGACCTGCTGGTCCCAAAGCATGGCACTGCCTCCCCTGCTGCCACACCAGACCCTAGGGAATGCACAGCAGCTCCCAGGTCACCCCAGGAAGGGACACGGACTCCTGGGGATGAAGGTGACTCAGAATGGTAGGGGTAGGAGGCAGAGGAGTGGAAGTTCCCCCAGACATTCAGGTTCTCAGAGCTTGAAAACAGCCACTCTGGGAGCTGGGGTCTGCACAGGAGAGTGTGCCCACTCGGGGCTGCTTCCGGTGGCTGCGAGCGCTCCGTGCCCGCTGCCTGTGCCACCTGTGTCTGCAGCCCTGCACGTCGCTGCACCCTTGAGCTCCTGCTCCTCCAACGGCACAGCTGCCCCAGTCCAACTGAGACTCCACCTGTAAGAGCTCCCGTTTCAAGGTCTGGGAGCAATAGTGCTTAAGAAACTCGACTGTCCCTTCCCTTTCCATGGACAGTGGTGAGGAATGACCCAGACAGGGGAGCATGGAGCCCAGTCAGATCTCCTGATTCCCAGCTGGCTCTCCCGCTCACCCCTAAAATGGGCGGTAATAACTTTTTTCCCCATGATGGACAGCAAGGCATTTCCTCTGCCTCTTCCTTGCAAGACCTCCTGGGGTTCATTTGCCTCTGAGCATCCTGGGGGCAGAACCAGGCCCTGAGAGGGACCAGATGCTTTTTGGGGTTAGGGGGGACAGAGGGTGCTGGAGAGTGTAGGAGAATATCAGGCTGATTGTGGGGCTTCATGACAAGAGGCCGTGCCCAGCAAAGACCCAATCACCAGCCCTCTGCTGTGAATGCACCACCCAGTTTCTCACGGGAGCCTCCCACAAATCAGAATTATCTTTTCTACTCGTCTCCTTACCTGTGAGTTGTACCTTTCTCCCCCAGCCCAGCCCCCCAGACCGAGAGCCCCAGGAGCCAGGGCCATATCTGGTTTTCTCTTGGAGCCCTTGCCTGGTACACAGCAGGCACTTGGCCGTCATGAGGCTTTTACAGGTGAAGAGTCTGCGCCCAGAAAGGCAGAGCGCCGCGGGGCGGCGCTGCTAGGACTTGGACCCGGTGGGTCTCACTCCAAAGCCAGACAGTCGGCCCTCGGTATCCGTGGGGGATGGGTTTCAGGACCCCACATGGATACCAAGATCCCTGGAAGCTCAGGTCCCTCCTAGGAAACGCAGTGTGGGCCAGAGCTGTCCCTGCACGGAGGCCGCAGCAGAGCAGGCCCGCACCGCTTCACTCCCGCGGATCCCGCGGAGCGCTCCACGCGCCGCAGATTCGTTTCGCTTTTTGGAGCTTTTTGGGATTTTCGTTTTTCCACATTATTTTCAATCCATGGCTGGCTGAGCCCACGATGGGAAACCCATGGATACGGAGGGATGGCTGTATCGTGACTTCCCCACGGGCCACTGCCCGGGCACAGCGGGGACACTCACCCTGGCCGAGCTGACGGTGGTGGAGGTGCCATGGCTGCCCGTGGACGAACCTGTGTCACTGTAGGAGACCATGGAGTAGGTGTCGCCGGCCCCGGGGCCAGGGGGCTGCCGCGCCTTCATGGACTCGATCTCCCGCCTCAGCACCAGGTGGTCAAAGCGGTCCAGGTCTTGCGGGGAAATGGTGCCCCTCACCTCAGACAGGAGCGAGAACTGGAGGCAGGGACAAGTGGGGCACTCAGCAGGGAGCCCCACCAGCAGGCGGGATGGCCCCCTGCTACCCCAAATGACCTGCATGCAAACTTGACCACTGGCCTCCCCTCCTTAACCCTCAGTGGCTCCCCATTGTCCTCGGGAGAAAGTCCAACACCTTAGCCTGGATGCTGGGCCAGCATCATCTGTCTCCTGCCCCCTGGCATCTTAACACGCGTGACTGCAACAACCAGCACACACACGGAAGCCCCCGGCCGCCCCTCCCCCTACTTCTCTCCAGATGGCATTGCCTCTGTGCTGTCTCCCAAGCGTAACCACGCCCAGTGGCTTCATCACTTCTTCCTCTGGCAGCCTCAGCACCTGACTTCCACTAAGCAGGGCTCTCAGAGCCGGCAGCACGCAGTCACCCGGGGGCTCGCAAACACTGCCTGCCCACAGGTGTGCAGAGTTAACCAGGCCGGGTGGGGCCCAGGCATTGCTTCTAATGAGCAATGCAGGTGACTCTAAATGTGCACTCAGCACCGAAAGCCACCGCGTTAGCTAGGGCCCCAGTCACAGCAGACCTGAACTGACTGCCTCTCTAGGAGTCTGTGGGCTTCCCAGGGCGGGAGGGAGGGGGGGTGCTCAGTTTAGGCCTAACTCCTTGTGGGTTCTGAGTAAAGGAGTGGGGACCGTGGGAGGAAGGGAGGGGGGCAGGGCCCTTGAGGAGGCAGCCACGCCCCACCAGCCCCTGCCAGCCTCTCCCTTGCCCGGGGGGTGCAGGTCACCTTGGCGTGGGTGTTGAGAAGCTCGAACAGGGCCATGACGAGGGCCTCCACGGAGACACTCCCGCCGCGGTACTGCTCCAGGTAGTAGGCCATGGTGGCACGCTCCTGCTCATTCAGCAGGTGCCGCGCCTGCTCCTCCAGCAGCACACGCGTCTGGTTCCCCAGGCTGCTCAGGGTCACCTGGGAGCCGGCTGGCCCCTTGTAAAACCCCAGCTGAAAGACAGGAAGACAGAGTGCTCGCGAGCCGAGTGGCCGGGCCAAGCCAGCGACCATGCTGCCAAGGCACGAGGCCGGTCCCTCGGGTCGTGCCCCACCCCACCCCCAGCCCCCATAGACCTGCAGGACATGTTACCCGTATGTTCCCAGTGTATGTGGCCTCGTGCAGTTCAAGAGCATTTTGTGGCTTACATGGCGTGTGTTATCTTATCAGACCCTCGTCACCTTTCAGAGGGGAGCGATATTATTAGGGTTCCCATTTGACTCTCTAGGTTTCAGTATCTCCCTTGATAAACTAGGGATGATAGTAACTTTATTTCCAAAATGCAGCTTAGATCAGCACACACGTATTCCGGCCCCTCCTGCCACTGCCTTGCCCACATCAGCTGTCTACGATGCCGTGGCTGTCCCCCTGCCTCTCCCGGTCACCTACACACAGCTGCTGAGATGGTCACGCAGAAACACAGATCTCTTCACTTTGCTCCCTGCTTAAGCCTTTCAATGGTACCCCATCATTCTAGGTAAGAAGCCAAACCTCTCGGGGCCCCCAGCCCCGTGATCTGGCCATCCCACCTGCTGTCATCCTGGCCCCCACTCCCCTTGCTCACTGCGCTCCCCGACTCTCCCTTCCTCCCGCGAGCCAAGCCCTCTGCCTGCCTCAGGGCCCCCGCAGTGACCTCTGACCGGGCCAGCCCCCTCCTGCTCCTGCCCCAGGCTTCGATCTCACTCACTTCTATCTGACATTCAGCTCACAGCCCAAATATCATGTCACTACTCCGGACAGCCTCTGCCCTGTGTAAAGTAGGCGTCTCCTCTGTTACTCTCATAACCTAGCCTTGATGGCAGCGAACATCTTTTGTGATGAGATATGTCTGTGGGTTGTTCTGTTTCCATGAGTATCTCCTTCACTGGGGGTGACCTCCTCGAGGGCAGGGACCTGATCGGTTCTGTTCATGGCCATTGACCCCCATGTCTGGGGTGGGGTGGGGTGCCCAGAACCTGGTGGCACTCACAGACATGTGTGGAGTGGAAAATGGACAGTCAGCGGGCTGCCCAAATGAATGAGATCATGTATGTGAGTCACACACACATGCCAGGTCCAGAGCTCCCCCCAAGGACGCCCGCAGATGGACAGCACCCTACCTTGTCTGTCCCTTCCATGGTGGGATCCCCAGGAAACCTATCAGGAAAGACGAGCGTGTTCAGCTGCACGGCGGAGCGATGCAGACAGGAAGGGGTTGCTCTGCAGCCGGATGGGCAAAGCTTTGGGAGAACCGTGGCCTCCACTCGCTGGGGCTACGGAAGGGAACATGGACCCCTGGACGGATGGGTGGCTCCTGGCCTCCCGTCAACCACGTGGGCAACAATTCTAAATCCAGGCGAGTGGCCCCCCGGGTTTTTTCCAACCCTACAGGGCCAGGCAGGTAACACGAGGAGAGGAGAGAACAGGGGCAATGGACTTGTGGCCGGGGTCAGGCCACCCTAGGAAGGGGGGACAGGGGTGAACCGCAGCACTGAAGACACAACTCTCAGAGGCAGCTAAGTCCCAGCACATCTGCATGGAAAAAAAGTGGGGTCAAGCTGCTGGAATTCCAGATTTTTAAGAAGCAGCCAGAAATCCAGATTTTCAAAAACAGGAAACCCAGAATCTTTAAAAATGTGGGCAACCAATTTTTTTTTAAAAAGATGATAATACTGTGTAGGTGAAAAGAGAGAGAGAGAAGAGAGAGCTATTCTGGGGTGTCCATGGCCTGAGAGGGCACCCCCGAGTCTGAGACTGCTGATGGAGACCCAAAGGGGACGCATTCCAACATCAGCAACTACTGAGCCATGCGGCAGCTGACCCTCATTCTGAGACTCCATGAGACTCCCATTCACAGGTCTGGGAGGGGGGCAGGCACTTTCCAGATGAAGCAACTAAGCGTCCAGACTAAGTTAAGTGACTTTCCAGAGGCAAATGAAGAGCAAGAAAGCCCGACTGTGGAGGTCAGCTTTCCACGGGGGCCGGGCCAGGGGCGCAGAGGGGGCGTGCCAAGGTCATGCGCGGAAAGGAAAGGGACCCAGGTGCTGGGACCCCAGGCTGAGAACTGTGCAATCTTTACAGATCAAGATGTGGGGGAGGGACGTGGAGGGACGGAAGGGGGCATAACTGGCTCTCAGAGTGGCCCTCGGTGCCGAGGCTCGGAGTAAGCAGTGTGACCTGACCCTGCTGAGTTCGAGGCGGTGTCCCCGATCCGGGAACTGGCAATCCACTTGGTCTCGTCCACCGTAGTGCGGGCGTGGGGCAGCCTCCCGACGTCCTTCACCGTCAGGATGAGGTGCTGGGATGACTTGAGCAGCTTGACCGCCTCGTCGTGCAGGATGTTGAGAAAGCTCTGCCCGTTCACCTCGAGAATCTGGTCCCCGACCTGCCAAGATCACAACACAACAGTCCCCTGGCTGTCTGCGGGACACAGGCTCGTGCCTGGAGCGTCAGAGTCCTGACCCCATTCTCCTCCTGGTCAGTCTGCCAAGGAGGCCACCGAGGCTCAGAGAGGCCGTGCGGATACCTGAGGGATACTCAGCAAGTCAGCGGCAGAGACACCCTCCGATCCTGAGCCTGAGCCCGTGCTCCTGCCTCTGGAAAGGGCCACTTCTGCCCTGGCTGGTTTGGCTCGGCAGTTAGAGCGCCGGCCCGTGGACCAGAGAGTCCCGGGTTCGATTCCGGCTAAGGGCATGTACCTCAGTTGCGGTCCGTCCGTGGCCCCGGTTGGGGTCGTGCGGGTGGCAACCAGTCAATGTGTCTCTCTCACATCGATGCCCCCGCCACTCTGTCTGAAGATAAATGTAAAAATATCCTCAGGTGAGGATTAAAAAAAAAAAAGAAAAAAAGGGTCACTTCCTCTTGACCTACAATCGTTTGAGGGGTGGGGCCACAACCCGCTTCCCAAGGGCCCCCTTGTCCAGAGGACAACAGTCATCTCGGGGGTGGGCTGGGTGGGACAGGAGGCGGGAAGGTGTGCTTCCGTCACTCCTGCGCTTCTCCGGGGCTCAGTTGTACCCCAAGCATGCATTCTTACACTACCTTAAGATGTAAACAACATTTTAATTTACTCAAGAAAACAGGCAGTAAATGAGAAAACCAGCCTCCCGTTAAAGCAGTAGCATATTGCTTGGATTCTTGCAACAAGCCGGGAGTTTTATTTTGTAATTTAAAAACACATTTTTTTTAATGAAAGGATTTAAAAAAAAAAAAAACAACCTAGCCCTGGCCGGTGTGGCTCAGTGGTTAGAGCGTTGGCCCGCGCACCAAAGGGTTGTGGGTTTGGGTCCTGGTGAAAGGCACATACTGGGTTGCAGGTTTGATCCTGGCTGGGGTTGGGTGCGTGTGGGAGGCAACCAATCAATGTCTCTCGCTCTCTTTCCCCCTTCCTCTCTCCCTTTCACTCTCTCTAAAAATCAATGGAAAAAATATCTTCTGGTGAGGATTAACAAAAGACAAAAACAAAAAACAAAAAACCCTAGCCTGCCAATAAAAATAAATACGTGACAAAAATAGTAGCGGTTGCTGGGAACCTCTGTAGCGTGAGCCGGGCACGTGTGCAAGACTGCGGCTCACCTACACTGGGAAGGCCTGGCTCCTTCCTGTCTCCGACGGGGCACTGCGGCCCACGGCCGGGAGGGCTGCCCAGGTCACCCCACCACGGCCTTGAAGGTAGCCCCAGAGCGCCAGTGATCCATGCTGCTTCTCCTTCTCCCCGCTTCCCTTCCTGCGGACGGCTCCTGATCAACCCCAGGAGGGCTCCCGCATTTTTCAAAGCAAATTCAGAAAAGGTGAGCCAAACGGGGATTTGGGAGAGAAGAAGATGTGAGGAGGAGGCTGAGAACTGAACCCTGGTCCCGTTTCCTGTCTTTCTTGAGCACCTCGGCTGCAGCCGGAGTCTCCAATAGAGGGGTTACAAATTCAGACCCTCCCCTCTGCACCAGCACTGCCCTGCACAGAAGGCGGTGCAGCCCTGTCTCCAGGACCCCATCAGCAACGCTTCCTGCACCCCGGCAGGTGCCCGGCTCCGTGCTGGGGTGCGGGGTGAACGCAGCAGACAAGGCTCCTGCGGCCCAGGCGCGTGGGCTCGGCTTTGCACCGTCACTGGGTTTTCCATCAGCCTCTCCATACTGTATCCCCAGGACCCCGCATACAGTGGGAATTCAATAAAAATCCATCATGTGAACGAAACGTCGGACACCCATTCCCCTCCATTCCTAGCTCTGGGACCATTCCTGCCCCAGCCCAGGGGGGACCAACACATTACACCAGTCTGGAGCCCCGAATTTCAAACCGCTATTGATGAGATGCTGACGGTGTACCAGGCACCTTCTCTGTCCCGCTACATTTTTTCTTATTTAATATCCAACATCCTGAGGAGTAGGCATCGTGCTCTCCATCCCGCCAGAGAGAAAACAGGCTCAGAGAGGTCAACAGGGTGTGGCCACAGGACTAGTGAGGACAGCGAGGGTGCAGACCCAGGCCAGGCTGGCCTGCTGGTAAGAGCTCGGCCTGGGGACACATGGCACCGTGCCCCTTCAAGCCCAGCATGTCCAATGCCACCGACCTGCCAGCACTCCTAACCCTGCCCGCAGCACCCAGATCTGAAAACCCACCCATCATCGACTCTGCCTTTATTCCCGAGTAGATCCTGCAGGAAGCCCCATCCGCTCTTCACCTGCCTCCACCCGGGTGCTTTTCTCCCCCCACCTGGGGTCCTTTGCCAGCATCCCACCTCCGAGCACTGACATCCAAACTAGCCTCAGACCTCACACCAGGTTAATTTTTCCTCGACTTTTTACTTTCATGACATGACCTCCTTGTTAAAAACCTCCAACGACCTGCCACGATCCAGAAGGCAGCAAAGCATTATGGTTAAGGGTCTCAAAACACCATCAGACTGGGTTCAAATCCTGACTCTGCTACTTCCATGCATGTGAGTTCAGGCAAATCCCCCAACAGCTTTTGTGCCCTGGTTCCCTGGGTGCTAGTCCAGGATCACCCTCCAATTTCCTAGTCACCGGCACGTGTCCCCTGCCACCGGCAATATCACACTTCTTGCTCTTTCTGCCTCACTGAGCTCCCTGGTTGAGAACCCCAACCTGAGAATCTGGGCAGCCCCAGCTGGACTCCTTGGGAAGGCCTTGGCACACAGCAAGTGCCCAATAAGTGCTTATGCATGAAGGTATGGATTTTGCCACTCTCCGTTTTGCCCTGGGAACCCCCCATGAAGATTCCTGAGTGGAGGGGAGACTCACTCCCTGCCGGCCCGCACTCCGGTTAGGGCCCTTGCCTTCCCTCCCTCCTGAGTAGCATAGGCCCCCCCGCCCCTCTCTCCAGCGGCTCCCCCAGCCGGACCCCAGGCTGCACTTCCCATCAGCGGAACTGCTCTGTTTCTGCAAGGATTCTTCTCAACAGCTTTGTCTTCTGTTAACCGAAGGGAATCAAAATGTTTTTAAAAATCCTCACCGGAGAATATTTTTCCCATTGATTTTTAGAGAGTGGAAGAGGGAGGGAGGAAGGAGAGGGAAGAGAGAGACGTCGATTGATTGTCTCCCAGCCCCCCACCCCCCAGGGCCAGTATCAAACCTGCAACCCAGGTACGTGCCCTTGACTGGGAATCAAACCCACGACCTGGTCTGTGGGCCGATGCTCTAACCACTGACCTCACCAGCCAGGGCCCAAAGGGAATCCATTTTAATCTCCCCCAGTTTAATGAAAGGAAGCAGCGCTGAGAGATGGACACGTGCCGCAGCCTTCTGTGTGTGAGCCTCTCCCCACAGGCCCAGGCCCGGGAAGGACGTCCATTCTGCAGCATCTCCCTGGCTCTCCACAGAGAGGCAGGAGGGGGAGGGGACATGCCCCAAACACCACAGGGCACGCAGGTATGCTAAAAGGGGTACTCGTTCACCTGGAACTCAAGTTTAAACAGGAGTCCTGTACTTTTCTTAGCGAAATCTGGCAACCTGGGGTGGGGGTGTCAGTAACTGCTGGGTCAGTGGGTTTGGGGTGGGGGCTGAGTTCATGCTGGGGTTACCAAACTTCAGTTATTGTCCCCCGCCCTGAGCCTGGCACCCGTCGTGTGTGTGGTCCTGTGAATGCCCAGCACACACTGGCTTCTGCCTCCTCCTAAGCATCAGTGCCTGCGAGGTCCCAGGTTTGGCTGTGCTCGTCACATCCCTTCATGTCTGGTGAATGAATACCGATCTGTGAGAGGACACGTGTGACCCACTGGGGAACAGGCGTGAACAGGAATCATCCTCGGGAAACGCCGTCTGAATGCGGGTACGTGAGCCCACCCTCCTCACCTCTTCCCAGTCCTCTCCTGTCTTTCTTCTTCTTCCAGGGCCCGTTTTAGAACTGAAGTGCTAGCCAAGGCTGCCTCGGGGCCCCCACTCAACCCTCTGCAGCGTCTGGGTTCGTCTGAGCCACTCCCATGTTCCTATGTCCAGTTCTCTCGCATACCCTCTACTTGCTGGAGAGCTTCCCGAGGTCCAGGGGCCTTGTCCAAACAGAGGCGTCTGCATGCCCACTGTCATGTAGAGTCCACAAACAAGTCTCGGATAAATCCAGTGTCCCCTGCTGCCCACAGCAGCCCCACAGGGCCAGCGGACTATGAAGTCCTATCCCTACGGTGCAACAGAAAGATGCCCCTAGTTCTGAAACTGGGCAGCTAAACATAGTGGCTGGGTGGTCCTGTACAGCTCTCCAGTACAGTCCAAGTCTCAGTGTTCCCATCTGTAAAGTGGGCATGACACTACCCGCAAGTTTTGGTGGCTGTGAGAATCAAATGGGGCCCCTCGGTACAGAGCCTGGCGCCACAGGGGAAGCTTTCAACGGCTTTTCATTCGCTTCCCTTCCAAAGGGAGGGGTCAGGTTGAGATGTCAAGGGATTTGCTCGAGGTCACTGGTCACGCAGGAAGTGAACAGTGAGCCAGCACACTCTTCCCACTACCCCGGCCACCCTGACGCCAGCATGTGCCTGGCACGCAGGGAGCTCTCAGTAGCTGGCGGAGGGACAGGGCAGACCGTCCTTCCTCCTTCCATCTCACCTGCATTCGCTGCCCCTCCCCCTTCGGTCTGTGTGATGTGAACTCGCACATGGCGTGTTTACAGGTCTTGATCTGGCTCCCCCACCCCCCAACATGAAGCGCTCTATGCGTTGATTCGTTGAAATGTTACTTTTTCTTACCAATCAAAGCCAGCTTTGGGTTAGATGATGTGGATCAACAAGGCAAAAAGCAAAGAGGCAAAGATGCTGTGGCCACCAGGCCTGCAGATGGGGAGACCGAGGCCCAAAAAGCACAGGGATGTGTCTGGGGCCAAAGCCCAGACCCTCAGGCTAACGAGCCAGAAGAACACCCTGCCGCCCAGAACTCATCGGGT